CGAATGACCGAGTATATACTTACTCGTCGTTTACAAGTGAGTCGGATATATTAAGTACTGAATAGAACGACTACTCGAATGACCGAGTATATACTTACTCGTCGTTTACAAGTGAGTCGGATATATTAAGTACTGAATAGAACGACTACTCGAATGACCGAGTATATACTTACTCGTCGTTTACAAGTGAGTCGGATGGTGCTGCGGTGGTGCCAATTGAAGCCTCGACCCTGGTAATGTCTGCGCCTTGTCTTTGGGGTTTAATTAACCAAGGAGTGTTGGTCACGTATGTACGTGGAATTGATCAACGTATAAGGTCTCGCTAAGCATTAATATATATATATGATAGACAGTACGGTTTTCGATACAAATTCCAAGTATATGACGTGGCAACTTCAGACAAATCGCCGACGAATTGACCAATCACATGGCTCAATCTACACCTCGGTGTTCTGCACTGGGCGCACACCCGCGCCATGCACAACGCGATCAAGTTTGTTATTATTTTCCATTTATTTTTCTTAATATTTTTTTCCGACTCTTTGATAGGTTGCAAAAGCTCATCAACCCCCAAAAGTCGTCGCTGGGGTATACTATTGCCCGCCGGAATGACCTATAATTTTCTGATTATTCGTATTTACGACTATTATTAGGTATTTTTATCGAAATATCAAACGTCGTCTGGGCCTACTGAGCGCGCGATATTGCGCTGCCGTATTCGCCCCCGTGTCCCTCGACCTATTGCAAACGTTTGCGGGTGTAAGTTGAATGTTATATATATATATAATAAATATATAAACTCGAAACCCCCGATACTTTGCATTTTTTGGTAAATATATATCATTGGAATAAGTATCGTTTGAGTTCTCTCTGGAAGGATTGTACGGCTACAGTAGTGTTATAAGTGTGCAATACCATGCTGTAGTTGGTTCTGTTGCATGTCTATTTATGGGATTATCTGACAATCGCAATATATACTTGAATATGGGATTCAGTCGTATGTATATATAAATATATATAGTTAAAATATTTGGGTAATCTATTCCATTGTAAAGCCTAACAATGTCGTAATTAGGTGGATATTCCCATCTACCAATGGTTTGGCAGTGTCGAAACCACAGGCGTAGCTTGTATGAGTGGCCCTCACTGTTGGAGCTTGGGAGCTAGCGGCAAGCCGCTCCCCTCCACTCAAATCCTAGTGTCCGACCCACAACTAACCTCTATATTGGGTGAAAGCCAGGTAAAAATTCGGACTCGTTTTGTTTATTTAGGGTAAATAACCCCCCAATTGTGGCTTCTTTCGTATATCGAAACTATGGTTCAAAGTAATACTTCATATATATATTCGACCAATTTTGGTTATCACGTACTATGGAAGAGGGAAGCGTTGCACACCACAAACTTACACCTTTCAGAAAAATAGATGAACCTCCTTTTGATATTTTTTTTTGGCGAATAAATAACGTGACATTTGGCAATAATATTATACATCGTCTTGTTGAAATTTACGAATGCAGAAAAAGAATTTTTTTCATGTTTTGGCGATCAATTGTTATTTATTTGCCCAACATATCGACGATTTTGGCCATACTTTTTTATGCTTTATGACAACCAGATTCAGATGTAATTCTTTGTTTTTAATATATTATTTCGAACGTAGATTCGAATTCAAGGCCCCCACCTGAGTCCGTCGGTGGAGGTGGATGCCGATGGGTTCTGGCACAGTCCATTTGATGGAGCAACTCGTCGTGCTAAAGGTAAAAAACACGAAATTCGTTAAATATTCGAATACTCGATATAGAATCGTAAATATATATATTGTCCATTTACCCAAGATTTGGACATTCGCCAATATGTATCCATCAATTCGTTGGACTGATTTTTGTATGTAAAAAAATCGCCTACACCTTTTTGCAGTTAGGTTGGACGAATGCCCGATATAATTGGCCATGTGCCCGTTAAATTTGGCACCCAGATGTCGTGAGCCCGGTATATTTGGTCCATCTTAACTGCAAAAAGGTGTAGTTATGTTTCACACTAATTGAAGTCACACACGAATTCAATAAATGTTGAATTGGTCGAAGAATGAATTTGATTGGCGACTTGATTAGTGATCTGGATTATGATTGGTCGTATATGACTTGTCAAATGCTACAATTTCGAATTGACTTGACAATATATATATAATTGACTTGACAATATATATATAATCGACTTGGCAATATATATATAATCGACTTGACAATATAAATATATAT